TATCTATTGAATTATTAATTCCTTAATTAATTCATCAGATAATTTTGCATTAAGTTCAGATGTGAGAATGACCAAAAGCACAGAAGCTATTCCTAGCGTAATTTACTTTTAGTTTCTTTTCTTACGTTTCTGGTTCTAAAAATACTTCCCAGCACAAAAGAATTTTTAAAGAGATTAATACTTCCGTATAATCAAAAGCAAGTCAAGAAAAGAACATGAACAAAAACATATATTGCACAGGAATTTTACATTAATGTTTCGTCATACAACCAATTCCAATGAACAAAAAATTTAGCCTATCCTAGACATCTCAAACGTACTCTTTACAGCAATTCCTTGCATAAAGTGAAGTCTTGATGTCTCGACAGTACTCCTGATCGTCTCCTGAATTCTTCAGTATTTCTCTGGCTATTTTCGTGTGTCAAGAGATGCTTTCTGCCTTTCTGTCACGTCTTTTAAAACCACATAACTTCATTAATTCGCTCAGCGCACCGGTGTGTGTGCGCTATGCGAATTTCGTGTAACTGCTGCCTCTCAACTGATGTAATTCGCACAACTCACAGGTATTGGTGCGCTATGCGAATTTGCTTTTTCTGGCAGTGCGAATTGAGGCTTGCGCTATGCGAATTGGCTGACAAACTCCCAATTATACATCTTTCCTGTACAATAATTTACAACACAATTTACTTCCTATTACAACATTTCACTGAGTAATAACATGAAAAAAAGAGAAGATTGAGATCATTTATAAGTGTAAAAGCAACTCTTTTTCACACTTATCAATAAACATCGTTAAATTAAAATATTCAAAGAAAATAAAATAAAAAATATAATAAAATTTGGCAAATGGTTCATATGTATAAAATATTGTATTACATATTTTAAGTTAAACAATGATTTTATATACAAATTATAATACATGTATTTACACTAATATAGGAAAGAGATACGACAACAATTGTTTTCGACAATTCGCAACGATTTGAGAATTGAGGCATATTTAGACAAGGTTAAAAAGGAGGAGTTTTTGGTCTTGGTTATGAATCGAAGCAAAAAAGTTCAAGATTTTGCTTCGATTAACAAAAATGAAGCAATAAACTGAAAAGAAAAATAGATTTTTGGCAACAATTCTACAAACAACCATATCAAATTTTAAATAATTATTTAATTTTAAGGATCTATGGTAATATATCAATGTAAAAAGGATTATATAGAAAGAATAATGAATTCAAGCTTGATGCGCTCATATATCGTCTGAAACTGAATATCTTTTGAGAGAAAAATCTTAGTAAAATACAGAACACCTCATATTGTTTATATCCTCTCCTTGAGAATTATCATTTGTACATTTGTTTTTAACACTGTTTGTGTTGTAAATTCTGAAGATAATTAAAACACTTGCCTAGACGTGTTGGCTAGGTTTGGAACAAGGAGCGGTAAGAATACTCAGGAGTGGTTAAACTCAAACTAGTCGTGTTGACTAGAGAACTAGGAGTGATGAAAATACTTTGTGTAAACTTAGAGAGGTAAAACTCGTATAATCTTGAAAAATATTAGTGAAACCTCTTAAAAGTTTTAATGGAAGAATTAGATGTAATTCAGATTAAATAAAACCGATATAAAAATTTGAATATATTATTTTGCTATTCAAAACGTTTTCATCCCTAATGTTTTTCCTGTGTTTTCACGTACCTATATTCATCTCATTCATGAAGTAAAAAATCATACTTTTATTCATCCCCATCCCTGGATATAACTTTTTCGTCTTATTTTCATACCTATTGGGTAATAGATATACATATACCCATTTTTTATTATTTAATGTTAATTAATTAATTTTTATAAAAAAAATCATTGAAAAAAAACATAGTATCAAATATTCAATATGAAAATAATGTATTTAATGTCAAATATTTAGAAAGAATATTATGCCATTACACATAAATAAAATTCTATAACAACCAAAAAATCCATTAATTTTGAAAGCATTAATGAATTCTTTTTTATAAAGTTAAAAATGTTTTTAAAAATTTATTAAAAGAAATATGTTTAAAAATATTTCAAATGTTTCTTTACTCCCTTTCTTTAAATTAAAATAAAATATTTTTTTATACATTAATAAATGTTATACACTAATAAATGAAGTAACATATAGAAAAAAAAAACTAATGATATTTCAAAATTACATAGATCTTTAATCTTTTGAACTTCATGAGAATGAAATTAAATTATTATATTATAGTAAATAGAAGATTTTCATACAAATTACAGTAGTAAAATTACATTATGAGAATGAGTTAGAAAATAAAATTAATTATATAAAAAATAATTAAAATAATGTTCTACATGATAAAATAAATAAATAAAAATATTTAAAAAAATAAAAATGATCAAATGTGTGTTCTAGATATAATTTTAATACACAGTTAAAAGAAATCACATAAAGAAAAAAGTGTATAATAAATAATATGATAAGATAGAGAATAACTTAGAAATCTGAAAAATCTTTTCAAATGTTAACTAGTCCAAATTGAGAGCTAATGAAAGTTGTTCGAGTAAAACAAAAAGTTCATGAAACAAAATTCAGGATAAAAAATAGATAAGGTTTTTTTATATATTATCTAGTCAATGAAGAGTTTAGATGATTGAGCACTTGAAATTAAGGGTCAGACATTTTAATGTGGAAAAAATAATAAATAAAATACTAAAAATAAGTAAAAATAATCAAATGTAACATCTAAAAACGATTTAATTCACTAAAATTGATATTACAGCATGTAAAGATAACTACATAAAGAAAAAGATATATAACCAAGATTATGATAAAATGGAGAATTTATTGAAGATATTAAATTTTTGTTAATATAAAATAAACCAAACAAATAAAAGAAGAGAAAGAAGAAATATATAATAAAAGAAAAAAAAAGAATTATGAAACTAATATTAGTTTATTTAGTAAATTATTAGTATTTTAGTAATTTAAAGACGAAAATGAAAACATGAGATATACATATCTCCTTCCTATACTAAATTACTAAAAGTAAGATGTTATCCACACTCATACTATATCAAATTAATACATAACTTTTTTCGTAAAAATAAAAACGAATTCAAATAATTGTGATGCAGGGTTCTTACAACCTTCCATCCACAAATTTTAACTAGATTTGAGTACAAGTCAAAACCTTAAGATAATGTGTCAATAGGTCTTTCATCTTTATATATTATTCTACTTTCTTATTTTTATCCAATGTGAGACTTGGACTCACACTTGGATTCCCAACATATACAAATTATGTGAGAGAACTTATATCTCATATTGTGAATCATTTTGTATCATGAATCATAAGACTCACATAAATTTAAAAAATAATGTATCATAATACATGTAAGCATGCAAAGATGTAGCTACTAATATCAACCACATTAAAAAGAAGTGGTTGTATAAGTGGACAAATTAGATTATGTTATAATGGTTGGATTAGATTGTTTGACCCAACTATATATATATATATATATATATATATATATATATATATATAT